GATGGAAGATCTTCCTCTCTGTCTCTCTTCCTCTCTGTATATCTGACTTTGCAATAAAAAAAGAAAGAAAGAAAGAAGAATGTGTGTATATGTGTGTGACTACATATTATAAATACTTTCATTTACCTTCAAACACCTCGATAATGTCCCTGTGTCATGTTGCAATGACCACAGGAAGATGTAATGCACCAATTCAGACCAAACTACCTTCAGGAGACATTTCCCCTCCCAAGCACCGGGGGTAATCTGAAAAATGCCACCATCTTTGAGGGTCTCTGCCATGAGGAGATAGATCCTTCTCTGAGTAAAGCACCTGTGCTTTGCTCCCAGGCTATCCCCCTGCCTCTTCCCATGATGCAACTGGATTCTTTGTTTAGTTGCTCCACTCCTGTCACTGGACGAGGAGGAAGAGGAAGATAGTAAAAGGGTTGGGAAGGGAGGAAGGCAGCTTCTTCAACCTTCACTAGCTGGTTACCCTGACAGGACCCGATGAGGCCGCGGCCTCTCACTGGCCTCCCCTGTGCCTAGTGCTTCTCTCCTGGGCAAAGGAGCTCTGAGCTTGAACACGGCTCTGCAGCTTCCTTCATGTGTGGTTTCTATCCAGGCCATTATGCACTGGAACTGTCCTCGACTAACTGAAGATCAAATGAAGAACAAGCCAAGTACAGGACGGCTCGCAGGAAGTGCTCCTGAGCCTCTGTTGGCACCACTGCATGCAGCCACACTGGGAGCGCTCCAGCCCCAGGGCAGGTCAGTGGGAGACTTGGACCGAGCATCTGGGTGCACGGCTTGCTGGTGTGTTCTTAGAGGCCCTTCTAAAGCCACCCGTTTCTCATCTTTGAGTCATAGCTCCCATCTGCCAGTTCACCCCTCACATGCTCACAATGGTCAGGATTGGGCCCTGAAACCAGGGGGGAGGAACTTCACCCAGGTCTGCCAATGGGTGACAGGAAGCCAACTACTCGAGACGTTACTGCTGCCTCCCATGGTGCACGTGAGCAGAAAGCTGGGGTCAGGGGACAGCTGGATATTGAACTCAGGCCACTGGGATATGGGACATCAGCATCTTGTGTCTTTTGTTTAAAAAAGATTCATTTATTTTTTCATTGGAAAGTCAGATATACAGAGAGAAGGAGAGACAGAGAGGAAGATCTCCCATCCGATGGTTCACTCCCCAAGTGAGCACAATGGCTGGTGCTGTGCCAATCCAAAGCCAGGAGCCAGGAGCTCTTCCAGGTCTCCCACGTGGGTGCAGGATCCCAAAGCCTTGGGCCGTCCTCCACTGCTTTCCCAGGCCACAAGCAGGGAGCTGGATAGGACGCGAAGCTGCTGGGATTAGAACCGGTGCCCATATGGGATCCCAGAGCGTGCAAGGTGAAGACTTTAACCAATATGCTATCGCACCAATATGCTATCGCTTAACTGGCCAAATGACCTCCTCCCACCCCAACTCAAATTACCGTGAGCCACGTACCCCTACCGTCTCCCTCACCCAACTGACTCCCTGCCAGCCTAGACCCTGTCACTGAGTTAACTGCATGCTAAGCACCACGCAGAAAATGCCTGGTATCCAAAATTCTTGGAAGGAGAATATACCGTCACCACAGTATTTTTGATTTGTCCGTGAGCCTCAAGGGGACAGGCCCTGGATTTGTCCTGTTCTCTGTTCTGTGTCTGGTGGCTGGCATGTAAGAGGCACCGAAAATTTTTTCAAGAGCTAATCACCAGGGCAGCTCAGCTCATCTGCAGAGAAGTAAGTGGAAACACGAGAGGTGTGCTAAGAACAACCAAGGTTCCGCATTTGGGATGAGCAGCAGGATAGGCAGGTCGTGTTTGGATCCAAGGTAATCCAGATTTTAATTTCTGTGTGAACACCATCCTTTATGCCTAGACTAATACAATGACCAGCAGAGAGGCTGCAGGGTCTGTGTTCTGCTGTGGCTGTTGGGTGAGGGCAGAGCACTTCAACACTAGATGGCATCTCTGCTGCCAGCAGGGCTGGGTGATACGCTACAAGAGACATCTCAGCCACATACACACAGATCAGCTCTTAGCCACACTGGTCCATAATGTTACCCGGCAAACCCACTGCATATCACATTTGTTAGGGTATGACTAAGAACATTTCTCTGAACTTCAATTCCAGCCCAGTTCTGTTAGATACACTTCTTTAGGAATGAACCGCTTACTTCTCAGACAGGTGGCATGGAGAACACAGAATTTCTTTAATCTGGGGTTTGTGGTACTCTAGTTGAATAACTGAATTCTAACGCTATATGGCAATACAGACATGTAATCCGGCTTCTGTTCCCTTCACACTCAAGTTTCTCAAATATGAACCTCAGTTTGGGCTTAGGCTTGCAGAGGCTTCAAACTTAAGGAGGCCCCCTAATCCTGTCACTGGCCAGCTGGAGGGTTTCATCTGACTCATGAGCACTGATGACAAAAGCCAGTCTGCCAGAACCAAGGCCCCACTTTGTAAGTCCACATTCTATAGCTACAAATCGGTGGAAAAGAAATGACAGGAAAATGTAACATCAAGTATTCTACTTTGTGGAGATAGCTGAGGCAAATAAAGAGAAGGGAGAAGGTAAAATATGAAACCAGAAGAGCAGGGTCACAGGCCATAAGTGAAAGCAGAGGTAAGGTCAGTGACATACACTAAAGACAGCTGAAGCCCAAGGGTGGAGTGGTCAGTTCCGTCGGGAAGGGACTGGATAGGGAGGCATGGACACTTGCAATAGGAGCGTGTTCCTAAACCAAATTCTGAGAGGCAAAAAGTGAACCTGTGTGTGGATGAGCGGCTGGGGCATCCTGGCAGAGCTCAGTGTGTTCAGGGCACACAGACTATCAGCATGAGAAGAGGACTGGACACAGCATGGCACTGACGGGCTCAGAAGTGGAAGCGTGGCGTGGCGGCAAAGCAGGTACCCGGATGCTATGCTAAGAGATCTGGACCTGACTTGGCCTTCTAGAGTAAGGAGGTCATGAGAGGCGTTTAAATGGGATATGAAGTGGCAAAACCGGTTTTGGATCCATCATTACCCTGGCAGCCAATGGAGGATGTATTAGAGGGGCCCAATCCCAAGGTGGGACGCCAGTCAGGGACTGGGGCAACAGCTAGTGGCACCACAGTAGCATGTATCACCCAGCAATGTGAGCACAAACCCCCTGCCAGGGTCACGGTGCACCACACTGGGATCATTGAGATCCTGCCAAGAGAGCTTTGGAAAAGAGCCATGGGAGGTCATTCAGATCAGGCAGACATCATCAAAGACAGACAGCACGAAAGCAGAAGCCAGGAGAAAACCCAGAAAAACAGACGCCTTCCTGTGGGCTCCAGCCACCAATGAGCCCGAGCACCCTGCTCCCTGTGTGTCCAGCACCAGGATGCAGCCACCGGTTGGGGATCCTCAACCCTGAATGTTGGAGAGGAGGTCCCCATTTCCCAACACTCTGTCATTTAGGGCAGCAGCCTCAGGAAGGTGAGAGGAGCCAGCCCCAGGCTGTGGGCCTTCCCTTTCCCTCGGCTGAGTTTGAGAAGTTAGTGTGCTTGGAATTCAATTTTGATTGCCAAGTGACATAGCCATTCAGGAGCAGAGAAAAGGGGGCGTGAGATCCTCCATAGGGCCCAACAGCTAGTGGCAGAGGGGAGGAGCAGGGACAAGCAGGGTAGGGGTGAAAGGCACCGTGGCCCACCCGCTGACTTGGAGAGCGCCTTGTGGCTGGGAGCAGGGACCTTAATGGAAGAGAATTAGAGTGTCCTTGCTGGAAGGAAGGGACCTGGCCACAGCCAAGGCTGCCTCTGGAGCCATCAGCAATCTCTGAGACCTGCCAGGAGCTGCTTCCCTTTGCCCGGGAAGCTCACAAACTGACGAGAAAGATGAAGCATTTCACCAATACAGTATTTTTCTTCCCAAACACTTGTGCCTGCATCTTGCTGATCCAGCACTATGATGTCAGGGATCCTGGCACTTCCGGATCAGAAGTGACTCTAACACTTCAGCGACTCTCTCTTTCTCAGAGATGTGGTACTGAAGCTGAGAGGACAGCAGTGCCCAGCACGCCTTCCTCTCTCCTCTCTACCCCCAGGCCAGAGCACCATGACAGGGGCTGCAGATGCAACCAGGAGCCATGAAGACACATCCTGTGTCGGAGTGCCCGATTCCTGGCCCTGTTCCTGCTGCCACTGTCCTGCTATTGCACCCCGTGGGAGGCAGCAGACGATGGCTCAAGTCCTTGGGTCTGTGCCACCCACGTGGGAGGATGGAGTTCGCGGCTCTTGGACTCAGCCTGGCCCAGCCCCGGCTGCCGTAAGCTTTTGAAGAGTGAGCCAGCAGATGAAGCACCCGGTCTCTTCAGTTTTCAAATAAACCATCTGAAAGGACCCAGTTCTATGTTTCTTCTTCATTCCTGGCTGTGCCTTTCTCACAGGTGCTCTGGACTGTTTTTATAGGTTAGGTTAGGTTCATGGGCACATACTCCTGGCATAGTGTTTGTGAAGGTGGTTGGAAACTGAACTTGGGCGAGCAGTATAGACTTGGCACACAGCACTTGCTGAATAAACGTCTGGCTAGATAAATGGAGCCCTCATCCATTACGGCAACCGCCCGCTGCCCTAAGGCGCTTGCGAATTCATGGGGCCAAGTGTGCAGGCGGCACACTGCAGCAGGAAGCCCGGGCTGCACCCAGTGCGAGGTCCGCGGAGGAGATACCAGCCCTTCACGCTCCGACCCCGACCCACTGTGTCTAGGAGCAAGGCCTTCCTTCACGGGGAACTAGCTGATGCCGCCGTGGGGATGCTGATGTGCTCTGCTCAGTGATTCTTCGAGGTCCCTCAGGCCTCCTCCTAGTCCCCCAGCCCCCTTCTGAGGACACGGAGCCGCACCCCAGAAAACTTGGTCCCCCCTCATAACCCTGCCCTTTGCTACCTGCAAGCTGTGGGACTGTGGTGGTTTCTTGGCCTCTCCTGGCCCCAGGATGCTCTTCTGTACCACATGATGCCCCGGGCCTGCCAAGTGCAAGCCTCCCGGAACGGTGTGGTCAACGCCGCTTGTCAACGCTCCGTCTTCCGCTCGGCTGAGGCCGCAGTCCCTCCAGTCACAGGGCTCGCTCGTCCCTCGCGCTGCTCCCTGAACGCCAGCAGGAGGCGCCCTTTGCCCGCCGAAGCGGCCCGGGCTCATCGCTGCTCGGGCCGGGAAGGGCAGCCCCCTGGCGCAGGGCGGTGGAGGGTGCGGGCTGCGCCGGGGTTCCCACCTGAGCGCCGCGCTCCTCGGCGCCCGCACCTCCGTCCGCCCGCCCGCCGGCCCGGCCGAGCGCGCGCGGCCCCCAGCCGGTCGCCGCCGTCCCCGCGCCCGCCGCTCAAGTTTGCCCGCGGTCCCTCGGACCCGTCCCGGTCTCCGCCCCGCCGGGGGCTGCCCCGGGCTGCCGGCGTACCCCCCGGCCGAGGCCCGCCCCCCGGGACCCCCGACGAGCGGCCGCGGCGGGGCCGTGCGGGCTGCGCACGCCGGGCGCCCACCCGGCCCCGAAGGGGCGCCCCCCGACCCGGTCCCCCGCCCCCCACCGGCGGCCGAACGCGGGGCCCCCGCAGTGCCCGCGCTGCCCGCCGGGCGGCGCCCCTCGCCTCGCCGCCCCGCGCCTCGCCGCGCGCCTCCCGCGCTCCCCGCGCCCGGCTCGCTCGCAAGCGGACACAGACTCTGCCTTCGGCCGCCGGCGGATCGCGCTGGAGCGGCCGCGGCTGCTGCGGAAGGGAGAAGCCGGGGAGGGACGCGGCAGCCCCGCGGCCGGACGAGCAGCGCCCCCGGAGCGCGGAGCCGCCCAGGTAAGGGCAGCGGCCCGGCGCGGCGCGCTCTGCCTCCCCCTCGGCCCCGGCGCCCCGGGCTGCCCGCCCCTCGGCCGCCCCCCGGCCGCCCCCCGACTTCTGACGTCTCGGCCGCCGCTGCCCTCGGGGGGCCCCGCGCCCCCATGCCCGGCCGCCCGCCGCCCCGCGCTCCGTCCTGCGTCCCCCGGAGTTCCCGTCGCCGCGCTCGCCCGCCGCCCTGCTCGCTGCGCAGCCCTTCCCCGGAGGCGGCTCGCGCTCCAACTCGCAGCCCTGCCGCTGCCCCCCTCCCTGCAGGGCGGCCAGTTCCCTTCCCGACCCCGGCCTCCTCGCTGGCCGCCGCTCCCCGCACCGCTCCTGGCGGCCGCCTGGCCCGTCCCGGCTCAGCCCTGCGTCCCGCGCAGCCCCTTCCCCCTTCCCTCGCTGCCATCAGCCTCGGCTGCCCCCTGCCCCTGCGCTGGCCTCGGGCCACCACCACACCCCCGGCCCTTCCCCTCTGCGGGTCGTCTTGCTTGGGGTGGTGGTGGTGGTGGTGGTGATGGGGTCAGCGTCCTATCGGGTCTCCTGCGATCTGGGGGAGATGGGGGACTCCCAGCCCTTCCGCCCTAGTTGAGCCCGAGTGGGGAAGTGAGACCGAAACTCCGGAGACCTGCATTGGGCACAGGAAGGAGAGGGGGAGCTGGGGCAGGAGGAAGGGAGCCCCCTTGAGATGGTGTCAGAGCTGGGGGCCCCGGGGCCTCGGGTGGGAGCGCCTCCGTCTCTCTTGCTCCCCTGAGCTGCGGGAAGTGAGGGGAGAGTTGGCCGCTGGCCTGGCCCTGGGCTGTGAGGCCGCGGACGGGCTGGGCCCGGCCCTCTGGCCCGGCTGCCTGGCAGCAGTGGGGCAATGCGGGCCGAGCTGCTCCTCAGCTGGACCTTGGGCTGCGTGGCTCTTGGCATCTCTACTTGACGCTGCCATCTTCCTCCTGGTGCTGTTGTCTGGCGATGCCACGCGGTGCCACCTCCCTGCCTCCCTCCAGTGGCTCTCCCGGGCATGTCTCCCGGAGGCCTTCCTCTGGTTGTGAGGAGAGAGGAAGGGAGCTGGGGGTGGAGGGACTCCGTTGGGCCCCGTGGCCAGACTCCGAGGTCCGAGGTCCGAGTACTGGGCGAGAGGGCTGGCCTGTCTGGGAACAAAGGGAACTGCTCTTTCACCGTCTGGTGGGTCACCTGTGGGGTGGTGACACTTAAGAAGTGCTAGGAATAGCTGGAGTGGCACTTTCCCCACTCCCGGGGTTTGGGGAGGAGCGTCTTGGGTGGGCTGCGGGCTTCTGCGAGAGAAGCCCTGTCCTGTGGCCTCCTGGGAGTCTGCGCTGGCATGGTGAGTGGCAAGGGCCTGGAGCAGGTGGGCTGCGGCCCAGGCCCAGCCCAGGAGGAAGCTCCTGGAATTCTGCTGGGCATCATCAGGCTGCTTTTCTTTGCTGAAGCCATGGCTCAGGCCTCGTCATTAATCAGGTTGATTATTTTCTTCACTGGCTGGATGTGTTCCTCAAGGTCACGACCCTTTGGAGAGTTAATCTAATGTGCACACATTACAGCGTCTGGGTTTGTTTAGTTTTTGGTGTTTTGTGCAATTCCTGTGGCCGGGGCTTGCCCAGGAGCCTCCTGCATGTCCCACCTGCTCTGCTCCCCCTCCCTCCTCCTCTGCACCGGAGGATGATGTGGAGGGTGGGGGCAGAGGCAGGTGGAGGGACGGGAGATGGGGGGGAGGGCTGGGTCACCTGTGTTTCTCCATCCCCTGCTCCCAGGCACCTGATCATGGGCTGCTGTCCTCTGCACCCCAGGTTCACCCAGGAGACTGGGTCTGCTTCTTGGTCTGACTTTTCCACACTGGTTTTCCAACACTGAGGATAGAGAGGGAACTTTTGTGGAATGGAAAGAGAAGTTGGAGGCTGTCAGAAAGAAGGTTCCAGCTGCTGGGCGTTGGTGGAAGGCGCTGTGCCGGAGAGGGAGATTCAGCTGTTCCTGAGTTGGGTCTGAGCCCTGTAGGGATGGCGGGCAGGCAGGAGGGGGGAACTGCCCTGGGGAGAGAGCACAGCTCACAACACGGGAGGAGCCCTGGCACGTGGGAGGCTGGCGCAGTGGGCAGCAGGTGTACCCGTGCCAGCGGCCATTCCTCTATTGTAGCCTTGTCCCCCTGTGCGGCCTTCCACATGCTTTCCAGAAAAATGACTTCATCCCATGGCTCCCTTGGCTGGGCAAGCCCCGACTTGCACAGTATCAGGGGTTTAGATGTCTCATCCCGAGCTCGCATCCCATCCTTGCCAGGGGCAGGGGACGGAAGGCCTCTTCCTGCTCTCCTGAGACTCCTGGCTGCCTGTTGGAGGTTTCTGCTGCTGCCCAGCTCCAACTCTGCCTCGCTCTGTCCTTTCCGCTCTCGGCTCCCCACTTCTGAACCCTGCCTTGCCCCAGGCCTGAGGGGATCTCAGCATTATGCTAGGCTGCAGGAACCTCAGAGGTGCCAACCGTCTCAGACCCATTTCTGCGTCCCTGCCACCCTACCCTGCTCCGGGCCAGCCCTGCCTCTGCATTCCACCAGACTTGCCCCGCAGCAGGAAGCTGTCTGCACTTGCCTTATCCCTTTAGCCTTGGTGTACCTCTCCCATTACGATGACCTTTGCTTTCTCACTGCCACTGGTCCCACCGAAGCCTTCAGCTGCTCGGTGCCAGCTTTGGCACGGAGGGTTTCCTGGTTGACCCTTTGGGCATGCTGCCAGGTGGGAGAGTGCGTGTCATGGGCTGAGGAATAACTAGCCCAGGTGGGGACCAGGACTCATGTCCTGGGAGCCCTCCGACTGACCCTCTTGGTCAGCCACGTGGTGCCTACTCCTGCCTGTTGACTGCTGTTCATCCTTGGTGGTGTCCACGCCCAGAGGGCAGATCTTTGAGCAGGGCCTTGCTTTTTCCCATCCTCCAGCTCCTAACAGGGATCCTTCAGCACCCTGTAACAAAACTGAATACTCCCAGTGTGCATTTAGCTCCATGGGACAGGTGATGACCCAGTCCCTGAGTGTCAGGCACCTTCCTGCCCACAGGCCTTTCCTGTTGAGGATCCGGGTAGGGTACACACCAGGATGCGTGGACGTGCAAAGCCGGAGTTCACCCTGGCAGAAGCCAGGCGTCAGCAACCCTGGAGAAGAAGGGGACGGGTGGAGGGGAAAGCAGGGTTGCCAGGCAGAGCCAGCGGGGAGAGGCGGGGTTGAGCTGCAGGGAGCCTGGGGTAGGTGGACTAACTGAATTCAGGATGACTTTGAATGCCAAAGAGAAGAGAGAGGCTCAGGTGGAGGCACGAAATGTGGGAGTGATGCTGATGATTCCAGGGGAGAGGATGGTGAACTGTGAGAGGGGCTGAGGCTGGGCCAGGGTGATGGCAGCAGGGGCTGGAGGTGCATCGGAAGCCCCCACAAGGCAGGTGCAGCCTGTGAAGCATGGGGGCCTCAGGGATGATTTCCAGACTTCCAGGCCGGCAGAGCTGAGGAGCCGCAAGGGGAGGCTAACAAGCATGTCCTTGGACAGGTCTGAGGGTACCTGGAGGGTTTGGGGTTCAGCCTGTGTGGTTTATGGGGTTCCTGGACAGCAGCTCAGCAACCTTGTGCCATGGGGTCTCAGGCGTCTCTGCAGCTGGAATTTTCCCTCCGTAGTCTCCCATCTGCCCTCACTGCCCATGCTTCGTGGCATGGGGAACCCATGCCCAGCACTAGCTGCTCACAGCTTCCTCTGTGTCTGGCTCCTGTAAGGGACAGAGAGCAGAGCTTCCCTCCAAGGGGGCAGTGACCATGGCTGCTCTGCTCCTCGGAGCATCCCGGAGGCTTACACACAGTAGCTGTTAAATCAATATTTGTCCTATTTAAGGAGCTGCAACTTGTGTTTAGTGAACTTTGGAGATTCAATGGCCATGGGAAAGGAGGGCTGTATGGGCACCAGGTCTCTGAGGTGAGGCCACACTGCCAAACCTCTTCTTCTCCTGGGGGGCCAGCCACTTTATTCTGGCCACTTTAGCCAGCAGTTCTCTGGATTGCTGGACCCCAAGTCTGCCAGGCTTCCTGTCTCCATCAAACCTGGAAGGCACAGGCCCCATCTGTGGTCCCTACTCTCCATCAGGAATCTGCCCCAGCAAGCCAAGAGGTGGCAGAAATTGCTGTTGGGGTACCATGCCATGGAGGTGTTTCAGCCCTGGAGAAGCCGTACCAGAAGCTGGGGTACACAGAAAGTCCGGGGATGTCTTAGGGAGGTGGTGTGCCAGGGACCAGCAGAAGTGGAGTTCTAGGCTACCTAGGGCTGTTTCAGTTTCCTCTCTAAGCAAGGGCACACACTTAGGTCTGCATTGTAGGGTTTCTGACTCAGTGGGACGAGGCATGCCCCAGAAATGGGGGGTGGCTGCAGCCTCTCAGGCCAGGGGGAGATGCGGCAAAGATGGGAGGGTGGAAGGGTAACTGAGAAGTAAATACATGTTTAGAATTGGAGTTTAAGAGCCCGAGTTAAAGAAGAGGATTTGATAGAATGAGAAATCAATAGCCCAGAGGAGGTTAAGATGTGTAAGTGAGAGACTGCCTTGCTGCGAGGCACACTTAATAAAAAAGAAAAGTTGAAGAGGACAGGGAAGATGGAGGGGCAACTTGGGGTGTGGGAGCTGGGCTTGGCTGCTTTGCAGAGCCCATCCTGCAGCCTGGAGCAGACTCCCCGTGAGGGTGAGTGTGTGTCCAAGTGAAACACAGATTCACTCTCTGCCCAGCCGGAGGCCTGAGTGTGCACCTGTCTCGCTGGCCGGAGCCTGGGTGAGGCAGTGGCTGGCTGCTCCCAATCAGCTGTGTGGGCAATCCCAGCCTTCCTTGTCCTTAGAGAAAAGAGCAGAGGAAGACAGGTATGACTTCTGACCTCAGCAGGTGCAGTGCATGTTGGTTGGAGTCTGCAGTTGTTGTCAGCAGTGTTAGCGTTTTCTTCTCCTTAGAGATGGTGTCTCATTGCCCTGTGCAGTTCATCAGACGCTACAGAATAATGTCTGTAGCAAGGCGGGTGGTGGATTTGGAGCTAGGACATCGCTGTTTGAGGGTGGAGCTGCACAACTTTTTTTTTTTTCAAATCAGAGAATCTTGGAGCGGATTTAGTCCTAGCCCCAGCTGGAGGATGGCTGGTAGCCTGACTAGTTCTTGCTATTCGACAGAGGGCAGCAGAGCTGGGGCAGCAACCCAAGCTGCCCAGGTGGCAGCTCTTTTTCTGGGTCTCCTGACTTTGGTGTGAGAGTGGGAAGGTTGGGAAAGAGTAAGTGGTTTGTCCAGTCAGGAAACAAAATCAGACTGGAGGGGCTGTGGTGTGACCCAGCAGGAGACATCTACTTCCACAGGCATCCCAGTCCTGGCTACTTGCCTCCAGTCCAGCTTCTGGCTGCTGGACCCTAGGTGGCAGTAGGTGAGGGCTCCAGTGCTGCTAGCCATCTGGGAGACCCAGAAGGAGTTCCTGGGTCCTGGCGTCATCGGCTGTGGCAGGCATTTGGGCAGTATACCAGTGGTTGAAAGACTCCTCTCTCATTCTGTTGCTTTGCTTTTCAAATAGATGAGATTAAAAAAACCTGACTAGCAAGAA